CGCATGCGCAATCGATGTTTGCACCTTGGCGCCAATATTTGACATTTAATTTTTTTTTTCAATATTTAAACAAAGTCTGGTTTTGTTTGTAAAATACATAAGTTTTTGTGTAAAATCATGTCTGAAAGCGGGGATAGTGGTGATTGTACACCACAAGACATTCTGGAAGCTGCGTCAAACATGACCATGAACCTGTTGCCGGCGAAATCTAGGAGCAACTGTGAAAGCAAGCTGATTGCATTTTTGAAATGAAACTCACAAGGATATAAAGGGAAAAAATCCAAGACAGCAGAGCAGATAAATAAGTTCTTAAATGAAACCCCAGACACATTATATCTCTTCACAAAGGTATTTTAGTTGTTTATCAGTTAACCATGTACATTCTTTTTTGTTAATATTGAGTTAATTTATCGTAATATATATATATGAGTTGTAAATTATTAGTATGACTAATTTTTAGTATAATGGGTGCTTGCCGACGGCAAGAGTTATACAACATACAATTCAAAGATGTTGAAGTCTTCAATACTACACTATTGATCAAAATAAGTAAAACTAAAACCAAGACGGGCCGCACTTTTACCGTTACTGGGAAATATTATGAACAATGCAAAAAATACATAGAGCTACGACTAACTGAGTGCACCAATCCCAGTTTTTTTCTAAACTATATTGCCGGAAAATGCACGACGCAGAGAGTTGGCATTAACAAATTTGGAACTTTAGGCAAAGTTATTGCCAGCTATCTTCAACTTACCGACCCCGAATTGTACACAGGACACTGTTTTCGCCGAACATCGGCGACCTTGCTAGTTGACGCTGGTGGAAATATAACGGCACTAAAGTGACACGGTGGCTGGAAGTCGACGACAGTTGCAGAAGGCTATATAGATGATTCAATGACTAAGATCGCTGTATCCAATTCAATACTTAACAGTATTAAAAATTACAGAAATGAGGTCAACATTAACATACCCTATCTGAGTACCTCCAATAACGCTTCCTGTCCGATTCAAATTCAGTTTCATAATTGTAATATTCAGAACATCAATAATTATTACAAGTAAAAATAAATTTGTTGTTCAGCGTTTTATTTGCAATATTGTTTTACGTATAGTATGAGAGTAGATAAAGTAGTGTATGACACTGTTCATAACTTGGTCTTATAACACTCGTGAGATACTATAAAAAACTCGCCTACGGCTCGTTTTTTTAAAACACACTCATGTTATAAGAACCCTTATTATGCAACAGTATCATAAACTACTATTATATATGACCCATCAATTCGCACTGATGGGCACGCGTGGCGAGTTCTGGGCTGACAATAAATAACATTAAAATTTGTCAAAAAAACTGCCTAAATTATCGCGATGTTATTGTATTAGCGTGACGTCACGATGTTATTTTTCCAATGTGGCCAGTGCGCCTTCTCGTTAATGGAAGAAGAAGTTTTATTGTGTTTACGAGAAAGGAATCTACGCGCTAGCATGAAAAAGAGATAATATTGAGTACCTAATGGTGCAAAATTTTACTTTTAGTAGCACGACTGTAGATCGAGTTGACAAATGGCTTTGTTTGCTTGTGTTAAGATGACCTAGAAAGAAAAAGCAAAGGTAATATATAGTCAAAGCTCTTAAGAAGATCTAAAGTGCTTAATGACTTTTCCAAATAATCATTTGGAAAAGTCATTAAGCACTTTCGAGGTTGATTGGTTGGTTCATCGAGTTTCGAGGTTGATCTATTGGTCTTTACGATCTATCGTTTTAGACCGATCGATATCGATAGGATATGTCAAGATTGCTAATGATAGCCATACACACTACAAGAAATCGTGACGATTAGACTGTACCGTCCGAACGGTACCGATAAATCGTAGCGTGTATGTTATAAAACTGCACAGTTTCATATACGTACGCCACGTACGATCAACTGTTCCGTTCGAACTGTACAGTCTGATCGTAACGATTTCTCGTAGTGTGTATGGCCACTTTAACGATTTACTTCATTGAAGACGATGTCGGAAATCGCAACAAAAATCAATGCCATCATGAATATCGTCATGATAAATCGTCAATGTATGGCTCTTTCAAATTGACTAACGATTCAAATTTGTCTCATTCTGACGCTGGCCGCCGCACGTATGGCCTGCCTTGGCTAACGCGTTAATATTTACATGCGGATACACAATTTTCTAGGTTTTGTTTTTTTTCCATTTTAAAGGACACGTAGTCTTTATCCTTTCGTTTCAAACAAGTAAATAATCGATCGTTACGACCCATCGTATCGTATGAAGTGGCATTTTCGAAACGATGAACCGTACCGTATAAACGGTCCTTTAAATCCATGGCTAATGTTGCGAATCGGGTGATACGGCAACATTATGTATTGTAACTATCATTTGTGAACTTATTTTTTAGGCTGATTGGTCAAAAGATTCACTATTTTTGTTTGATAGTGAAACGTTGAACCAATGATCTACGATCAGCCTAATAAATCAGTACATACATAATTATCACTATAATATGTTGCCGTGTTACGCGATTCGAAACATTAGCCATAAGTAGTTTCTATTAGTTACGTGTGAGGTGGCTGAGCGGCAATTGAGGAAAAATCCACTAACAGATACCTTGTTCACCCTCCTTAGATCCTCACAATGGCTCGTACAGGTTTAATTAAAGAGCAGCCTAAGAAATCCAATCATACATCACTAAAACACCGTAGATATGTATGAACACAGTAGATAAAATATGTTTAAGGTACTGTAGACACTTAAAAAAATTAAAAAATGGAAAATCTTTATTTCTACATTGCCAATTTTCAAATAAACATCAGACTCCTGATTTAAATATGACTTGTGTATCAGAAGTCAGTTCCTTCCTAAAATGACAAATCCTAAATATCTAGCAGTGACTACTATCTACGTGTCTATATTTACATGAGAAGTAAATATAGACACGTAGATGCTTAAAATAAATAAAAGTATGTGTATGTGTGTATGTGTATGTGTTATGCGTGCGTGTGTATTTGTATGTATGTTTGCTTGCACTATAAATGTTTCTTTAGTTACTTACGTAATTTCCTTCGTAATAAGAAACAACAATATATTGTTTTCTTACTTGAAAATAATCATCTTATCTGAATAATATTATTCTAGAAAGACATTTAAATTTCGGTAAATGTTTAAAAGCGCCAGGGACACTGCTAAATTCCGCCCATTTGAAACTAAAGCTAGTAGGATGAGAAAATAACAAACCAAACTACAGCTCAGGATTGTGAATCGTCTCGGAACACGAAACCATGATATTAAGGAAGCACAGCTTCGATGTAGAATTCTGCGAACCGCTCTATACGATGTAATAATATAGGCCCACTAAGTAGTAATTGGATTTACTCGTAGATTATAGAACAATGTAATAAATAGAAAACATGGTTATATAATGGGTGTGTTCCATCAACTAATATTCCCGTCGATAGTAAGATCATACCAACGGATAAAGCAATTTTATAAACGACCATGATTAATGAAGGACTAAAATATCTTCCCGAGCCTAATACGCTATTGTAAGCCAATAACCATAGCCTGCTATAGCTATGATCTTAAAACAATAATATATATTGTGATATGGGTTTGAGCGCATTTTTTTTGTCTTATATAATAGACACTGGATGTCCAAAATACAGGTTTTAAGCCGATTTCGGACAAGGAGGTAAAGTTTTTCAGAGTTGTGACTATATATGACTGTAAATCATTTATGCATTGAATACTTTTATTATTTTATAACACTGACGTCACAAAATGATATATATTTTATCTTGTTCTTCTTCCAGTGCCTCTTCAATCCTGAAGGTTGGCCGTTAGCTTCCTGCATTTATCTCTATCAGCAGCCAGCCGGAACAGCTGTTCGACGGAGGACGGCCGGATATATTTTATAGTGTAATAAAATATCAAAAGCATTTAATGAACAAATGATTAACATAGTTTCACAGCTATGAAAAACTTAGCTTCCTTGTCCGAACTCAGTATAAAAACCCGTTTTTTGGATATCCACTTATTAGAGATGTAAGCTTTAAATGCTTTCAGAGAATTGTAATCATGTTGTATTTGTATGTGACTCGGTAAGGAATTTATGACGTGACAATAAGTAAGTTTTCTAAAATAGAGAATTATTTCAACAGGTTAGATGCACTGATTTTGATTATTGATTTTTTATTTACTTTTTTGAGCTACCTTCGAAAGACTTTTATTTAGTATTCGGATATTTCATTGAAAGATTTTTTAAACTTTATCGTCCATGCATGAATTTATTAGCAAATTTAATGAAATAAGTACTTTATTTAATTATTTTTTATATTTTTGAGTTTATTTATTTAATTGACCCCGACTACCGTAAACTACAACCGGTTCCAAAATGGGGAGACCTTTCTGAGAAGAACCGACGAAACAAACTCAGAGAGGCTTTCTATCTCCTTCAAACTCAAACTAATAGTATCTGTCGGGCTTACAGATTGTGCTCGGGGTTGGGATTTTATCTGTTGTATAAAGGGTTCGATTCTGTTGTAGTTTACGGTAGTTAGGGTCAAATAAATAAATAAACTCAATATTATAAAAAGGAATTAAATAAAGTACTTTATTAATTAAATTAACTAATAAATTTATGCATAGACAATAACGTTTCAAAAATCTTCCAATGACATATCCGAACGCTAAATAAAAGTCTTTCGGAGGTAGCTTGAAAAAGTAAATAAAGAATCATTATTCTGACGATGCATTCCTGCAAAGGCTGCGAAACGTCAATAAATAATAAAATCAGTGCATCTTACCCGTTGAAACTTGATTTATTTAATGAGTGATGTGCGTGAAAACGTAAGAAACAAATATAGAGAATTACATTCCCTATTCATATGAATCTTCTTCTCTCTTGGAGAATCTAGCCCTTTTATGCTTCTGCTAGTATTTTTTGATATAACTACAACTTTTTTCTGTTTAACGTGACCAGTTCAATGGAGTCTGGGGTCTACCGGCAGTGGTGTGTGACTGCTACATCGCGATGGATGTCACCTGTTCTACATCCAGCATATTCAATCTAGTCGCCATATCAGTGGACAGGTAAGGGAATAAATATCTTGAAATAGTTTAAATCTATTTTTTATTAAGATAGGTTGAGAAAATCCATTTTCTTCACGAGACTGTAAGTGCTACTTGGTAACAGGCGACTTTATGGCAGTGTATGATCGGGCGGTACTTAATTCCATTATATGTAATTGAATTTCGGGGTAATTTGTAGGGGAGGGGGAGGGGGGGCTCCTCCCGACCCCCCCGCCATAAAAGATTTTTGGCGGAAATGCAGTTTTTTTTTACCTTACCTAAAAATTCATTAAATCTGTTAAATGTAGTGGAATTTCAGGGGGATAGGTATTAGGGAAGACCCCTCAGAGGGAAGGGTAACCCCCCCCCCTCCCGGCGTTTTTTTTACAGAAATGATATTTATAAAAAATTAGAGGGGTTTTAAAGGTAAAACTGTACTTCCAGGGCCTAGAGGTGATATTTGATTTTTTGGTAGAAAAAGTCTCTATTAACGAATTTTTCTTTGTGGCGCTTCGCCGGCCGCTACCGCGGCACGCTCGCTTCGCTCGCTCGGCTCGCGCGTTAAGGTCACAACACTAACCTAACCTAACCTAGTGTGAAGTATCACCACACAAGCGGCTCATTAGAGTCCAAAACTCGCACTACACTCGATTCTTCAGGCGAAGGGACAGCAGAACTCGAGGCCGAAGGCTTTGAGGATGCCATGGTAGTCAGACGATGTTAATATCAACAGGAATACGAAAAAGCTCTCGACTGCGACGAACACAAACACTGACTGACAGATCTCATTAATGGCGGTAAATTGTCACATTTTGACAATAGTACCAACATAATAAACTTATATTTACCATAGACAACGAGAAACATGTTATTTTTGCATAAAAAAATGGCAGCACTGATCAAAATTGCTGTCAAAATTGACTCAAATACAAAAATATTAATTTTCAATAATTTTTTTCTCGAGTTCTATTCGTTTCCGCCTAAAAAGATTTCGTGTACGTGTTTTTAATAGTTAATACCTTGCGTGACAAAAATTTCAGCTTACAACTCAATTACATATAATGGAAAGGTGAGCCGATCGGGCTGTCATTTGATGTCTGTTCAGGTCATACCTTTTCATTTACTCGTATTTTATTGGTTTTTCTTTAGAATTAATTAATTAGCATAATATCAAATAGCTTAATTTTTACATTTGGTAGTACAAAACCGCTATGCAATCATTAAGATCACCCAAAAAAGATTTCATTCGGAGATACGTTTTGTTGTGTAGAAATACCAAGGTCTAATTACACAATGTTCGTCTATGGAACATCCATCTCTCCAATCCGACATTAATTAATTAATATAGCTCTAATGGCAAAATGAGATATACTTTTTTTCCGTAAGGGAAAATTGTGTTAATATAAAACAGACTCGCAATCTATCTCAATCACTGTAAATCATCACCCCCGTAGAAGCCGTCGCGAATCCGTTGGTGCATGAAGTAAGTGTAAAGTCTCGTATCCACTAGGCATGGGAGTAATTAATGCATAACCTAATATATTTTTCATCGCAGATCACTCAATATTTTGGGCAATCGACGAACTCCGTAGCCGAATGTTTTGTACGCCGGGTTTCAAGGTGTCTACCTACTTGAGAGGTCCCGTTAAATCTAATATTTTCTTAGATTTAAAGATCGAGCAGTTACATGCTTAAAAATATAAAAATTCTAAAAATTAAAATTATGACTGTCAAGATAGATAAGTTAGTTTAAGAGTAATAGTCGTTCAACTTAGGTATTAGAAATTTTCTTACCTAATAAAAATCTCCTAGACGAACACATTAAAAGTGACTTAGAGTAGAGTAGAGTAATTGCTTGCTTATACCTACGGAACTCCACACTGCGTGTGGCACGACACGCACTTGGCTGGTTTTTATTGGATAGGGTATACCTTAAAGTTGGTTCTAGATAAATTTGGAAACACAAATCCTACCCATAAGGGTGGGAAAATAAGGGTGATTTTTGACTCACAGTTATTTTGATGCCGTGTTGTATATTACAAAAATTAAAGCCACAAAAAATAATAAATTAAAACTTTCTACCAAAATTTAACCGCTAAAAAGCAGAAAATAATAAACCATTTTTACGTTTAGTCCAATCAATAATTTGGAGTCGGTGCCATGCCAACCCAAGTAGTAAATGGGAACTCAGATCATTACTCAGATGGTGTATAATACCGATAATGAAGATTTATCAACACAGCTAGAATTTAAAGAAACTACTACAAAACCTAAGCAGTCATTAAGACCTATTACTCCTGAAATCAAGAAGTCAATATTATGCTCCCAGGAAAAAGTTTAGTGACTGTAATTAATATAAAATTCAATTTAAGAATTTGTCTTATATATCCTCGTAGGTATAGTATAAAGCACTATGTATCCCTAGAGAGAAAGTGCTATTATACGTTCTATATAAACGCCCTCGGCTGCACTACGGGCCTTAAACTACACCCTTGTTGGTAATCGGTCATTTTCTCTCCTCTGTGAACAATGTACTATTTCTTTTCCGCGCGTTCGTATTTCGTATGCAGACGCGACGACGCGACGCTACAATTTCCGCAAATACGGGTTTTTTTTGAGTTACTAGCTAACCCAGCAAAATTCGTGGAGTCATAAAACTAGGGGTTGGTGGTAGAAGGGTAAAAATTCAGGGTTGTATGTATTTTAATCCCGAATCTTAAAAAAAAACATTTTGACCTACAAATCAGATCAGATCTACTGAATATACACACAAATTTTCATAAGAATCGATCAAGCCGTTTCGGAGGAGTTTTGCTGCAAACACTGTAACACGATAATTTTATATATTAAATTGTTTACTTATTATTTAGCAAATACAGTAAAGTTATTCCATATATTTACTTATTGAAACGTCACGTCTTCCACTGTACTTGATACAAAAGATGTTCCAATTTCTTTGTCGGCAATACATTTTCAAACGAAACCGCAAATAATGTTATCGCTGAGATTAAAGCTATACCTAATGACCTGTATTTGAAGAGTGCCTATGCTATCATTTTCGAACCAGTGGCTTAACGTTCACCCTAATTTGTCTTGGTTCACTTAACGCGGGTACGCAGCAACTGAGTACGTGCCTGAATTTGTGATTAGGATTTCCTATACGTTATATCGACGTTATAGTATTTTATCCTATCTGAAATGTACAAATAAATGGCTTTTAATCGACCTGTCGTTACATTACGTAACCTAGTGTAGCGTAACGTAGCGTGAATACAAAGGAAAATACAATGATTAGAAAGACGCAATATTATTAACAGTAGAAAGGGAGGATATATTGCGCTTTGTATGAAAAACCAAAACGTGTGCTTTGTAATTATATATGGCCGAAAAATCTTAATTTTCATTTATTTGCTTACATTTGTACCGAGGAGAACCAAAAACGTCCAGCAGTGTACATAAATACAAAAATGCATTGCATTTTTAAGGCAGTGATATTAAAATTTTATATTAAAATGCATTGCATTTTTAGGGCTGTTATAGGCAGCCGTAGAACAATCATTTTATTATAATTTTTATTTTTTTAAGCATGGAACTGCTTGATGTTTAAATCTATACAAAATAAAACTAGAAAAATTCCACGCGGTCCAGGCAGCAGACGGGACTCGAACCCGCACCCTTCGCTATCCGGGCGAATGCTACCAATTATGCTACCGCGGCCCTGACGGCCGCGTCGAAATTCTTCTAGCAATTCTTAAGCTGCAAGGCAGCGCCATCTCTTCGCATTTCGAGAATTTTGACGCGGCCGCCAGAGCTGCGGCCCAAAGTATTCATTTGACATTATGGGTTACCTATAATGCGAAGAGATGGCGCTGCCTTGCAGCTTAAGAATGGCTAGAAAAATTTCGATGCGAGCATCAGGGCCGCGGTAGCATAATTGGTAATGAGTTACAAGATGCACTGCCACACTTTTAAGTTAAGCGATCTTACGATCTTTAACCTTTTCCTTCAGAGCCGGCAATGCATGAGTGCTGTTAGTCTCCATGGGCACTTACCATCAGGTGGACTGTTAGCTTGTTCCCTAGCGTCAACCAAAAAACGTTGATTTATGAAATTTTGAACTGTTTTCTTATCATACTTTGTTTTTAAACCTGTTCACCTGTCCGGGTTCTGGGCACCAAAATCCGAAGTTTAACGAGCCCTGTCTTGGTTACCTAATTTTAGAAATGACAACCCATGTTTATCTAAGGCAATACTTAAATACGATATACATATTCTGAAGTTATTTAGAAATGTCAACATTCAGAACCCCAATCACAACGTAGTGACCACTTAATATTGCCACAAGAGGAATAATCCCGGCTAATAACAGAAGTTTGAACTTTCTATTGCAGATTAATCAACTAGTGCTCGCTCAGCCAAAAACACGTTCAACAATGTCAGAGCTCTTAGTACACAAAACACCTATCGTAGAAACATTTTATAAGCATCTCAACAAGTACGCATATTATATACAAACAAGAATGACCTGCCTGCAATTGAAAGTTACCACCACAGCCAATAACCACAAGCGATACCAAAAATATCACTGGCATCATTGCCTACCCTTAAACTATCTCTCCCCTGCCCTACACTATATTCACCGACAGAAACACAACACCCCCAAAAGGTACTATTAATTCATTTCTTTTTCTGTTAGATGTAGGGTACTGCCCCAGAGTGGCGCTCCAGTTTTGTCGGAAAATTCGCCATACACGCCCTACGCCATTCGCCCCTACTTCTCTTATTCTACCTACCATCCTTATGAAATTGTTTACAGGTACATAGCAGTCACGCAGCCAATAAAGTACGCGAAGCACAAGAGCAACGGCCGCGTCTGGCTCATGATCGGAGTGGCGTGGCTGGTCTCCATGGCCATCGGCTCCCCGATAGTTCTCGGGCTAAACAACACGCCCGACAGGAGCGAAAACCAGTGCCTCTTCAATAACACCAACTACGTAATCTACTCGTCGCTCGGGTCTTTTTATATACCATGTATCATCATGATGTTCCTGTATTATAATATATTTAAGGTAAGTAAAATCCAAAATATTATTGGCTGATACAATTCAATATGCTCCGTTTTTGTAACTTTAGTGCGATGTGAATTGACCGTTAATCCCAAATAAGCCTTGCTTCCTAATATAGTGGAACATATTTTGTTTTAAAAAAATCTACTTTTGAGATGCTTTTTCGACCAAATTAGATGCGTCCAACCGGTCTAGTACTTAAACAGAAAATAATAAGTACCTACGTGTTGCCTTTTGACCCAAATCTTTGGATGTTAAGAATTACCAAGACATTTTCTTAAGTTTTATATAAAATACAGTTTTTTTTTTGTGTATACATAAATGCCGCCATCTATAAAGAAGCATCACTTACGGCCGGGGTGACCGGTTAGACTCACACCGGTTTAACATAATTCTGTAGCTAATTTTATATACAGTCCTGCAGTGCAGGCGTAGGACTTTTAATGATGCAACATATCTTCTATGGGTAACGAGAATATTAGGTTCAGAAAGGCAAGGTAAAGATGAATATTACCACTAGTAATATGTCTGTAATTCCCAGTAATGAACTCGTTGAAAATTTACGAGAACATGCCCAAGTTTCCCAAATAAACAAATATTCTCAAGAGCATTGCAACCTTCGGAAACATTCCCAGAAATATCCCCTGAATGCTATATTCTCGGGACAGCTAATTCCTACTAATCCCAAATCCTATTATAATAAATGTAAAAGTTGTATGTTGTTTGTAAGTTAGTTAATCAATCATGCAAAAACGGCTCAATGGATTTGCATGAACTTTGCAACATAGTTTATAAACTGGATTAAGACACAGGGTATATATTTATCCGCCCCGAATAAAAGTTAGGTGGGTTAGATTATACAGTGGGATTCTGAAAATATGAAATATATGATCTACCAACCTACGAAGTAATTTTAAAAACCGTTCCCATGTTTATAGTTCTCCATGGATTTTGGAATTCTAAAATCCATACAGGAGAAATCGCGGGCAAAGGCTAATAGTAGTCAGTATTGTGCAAACGCTTTACAAAATATCATCACGACCGATCTCTACAACTCACTTAACATTATACTATCATATCATAAAATAGGTAAGCTTTATATATACAACCATAAATTAAATGTTAATGATGACTCACGCCACACCGTGCCGAGTGCAGGCCGGGTGGTGGCCCGGACTCGGCACGGTGCGGCGTGAGAATAACTACTATTACATACATTTCAATGAGCATTCAAGCTATATCGAGCGGTAACCGAGTGAACGGACAACGCTCGGAAACAACCGTGCTAATGCCACTAATAGTCTACGCAGACGAGGGAGATTTTTCCGCCGAAGACTTGTCATAGACTCAACGCTCACGATGTGTGAACATTTGTCCCCCGAAAATTTAATAAATCGCATACTATGGAAGCAAATATTCTCAGACATGAATTATAAGAAAAAGAGAATACTGGTTCCATCTTTTTAAATCGGATCGAGCGCGCAACAAGTGCTAAAGTTCGCTGTGTGCGTTGCTGCGCCTTGTCACATGAGTTGTATTTTTTCGGTACTCTTGCGTTCTGTTGTCTTTTCCGGTGTCTCAATGTCCTCTATTGTTCGGGGCACTTTCAGTACGCGGGATTTTTAATTCCATGTCAGGAGTTCATTGTTGAGGCTCAAGGGGCAGAGTTAACAACAATTGTTTTTGCTAATGATATCAAACTGGCTATTAATAAAATTAAGGGGGGAAAGTCTCCGGGGCATGATAAGCTCAGCATCGAGCACGTGAAACATGCTGGTTACCTTCTTCCACGAGTTCTAGTCTTACTATTCAATCTGTGTTTGTGTCATTCGTACCTGCCTCCAGATTTGATCCGGGCTCTGGTGTACCCATAGTCAAAAGAAGGACAGGGGATTCGTCTGATAAATCTAACTATAGACCTATCTCCTTGGCTACAATTATAGCTAAGGTTTTTGATAGTGTGCTTAATGGTTACTTAAACAAACTTGTTAAATTACAGGATGCACAGTTTGGATTTCGCTCTGGACTATCCACTGCAATTCTCAGCTTAAAGCACGTTGTAAACTATTAGACGGACAGACAGAATCCAATATATGCCTGCTTTTTAGATCTCTTTAAGGCCTTCGATATTGTTTCGTATAATATTTTATGGCAAAAGCTGAAAGATACGGGTTTACCGCCGGAGCTAGTGTCTATGTTTAGGTATTGGTATAGGAGGCAGGACAACAGTGTGAGATGGGCAGGGGAGCTTTCGGGAGCGTATAGATTAACGAGTGGTGTGAGGCTGGGTGGATTGAGCTCTCCTTTGCTTTTTAGTCTGTACGTGGATGCACTGATCGAGAGACTCATCAACATGCATGTGGGTTGTTTCGTAGATAGCTTGTGTGTAAACAACTTAAGTTATGCCGACGTTATGGTGCACCTGGCTCCCTCTGTTGGTGTATTGAGAAAACTACTCGCTGTGTGTGAATCATATGCGTCTTCGCATGGGTTAATATACAATGTTAAAAAGACTTAGTACATTGTTTTTAAGGCTGGTACTAAGAGTCCAGATTTCATACCACCAGTGGCATTGAATGGCATTCCTCTTAGGAGAGTGCATCACTTTAAGTACCTAGGACAGTTGGTAACCGGTGACCTTAGGGACGATGCAGATATGAAGAGGGAGCGCAGGGCATTGTCAGTCCGTGCTAATATGTTGTCCATTAGATTCGCGCGATGTACTAGAGCAGTTAAAATAACACTTTTCAAAGCGTATTGCACATCTTTATACTCGGCGAGTGTGTGGTTCAATTATACCCAGCGGGCTTTCAACGTTTTGCGCATCCAATATAACAGTGCGTTCAGGGCCCTCTTGCGACTTCCGACTTTTTGTAGCGCTTCAGCTATGTTTGCCAGGGAGGAGACAGATGGTTTTGATGCGATTTGGCGTAAAAAGACGGTATCGCTTTTGGGCAGAATACGCGAGAGTAGCAACAGTATCTTGAGCATTTTTGCTGGAAAATTTGAAAGTCCTCTTGTTTGGAAATTAATCCAGAGGACAAAGTCACTTTTCGAAATTAAGTTCTAACATAATATAAGTATCTACCAACATATTTAGGATCACGTTGACCTTATTTGAACATTAAATAAATAAATATGACGTTAAATATAAAATATTAAATGATTATTTAAAATTTACTTAAATTGTTTGACATTTAAGTACATTAAATTACATTACACGACATTTTAATTATATGACTTAAATGTAGAATATTAATTAATTACATAAATTCATTTTGATTTGTTATTTGGTTTAGATTACGTAATTTTTCAATATTTAAAAAACACACATTGATTGAATCCTAAAAATAATATATACTAACATAGCATTTAAGTAAAATATTGTTACTAACGAATTTATGGACCATTTTTTTTGTCTGTAATTAACAATTTTAATTTGAATTTGTGTGTTACTTGAAGCGTTTGTAAACGATCTATTTTGGCGGAAAAAAAATCTGAAAAAGACCCTCGTCTGCGCAGGTTATAATGCCGACGCTCGGCACGGGTCCGGCACGGTCTACCGTGAGTCATTCTTTACTCTTGAACTTTTCGCTTAGATACGCATAAGTTATATTGGAAAAGTATCGGAATATAAGTTTTATTTATAAAGTACTCTTACATTGATAATTCTTCACTTAACATTTTCTAATATCGTTTTATCATCTAACTATTGTAGTGATTTTAAAATCAATCTAACATTTCAGTTTTTAGATGAATGTGATAGCAAAAATTAAAGTTAATTTAATATAGTGGATAAAAAGTAATCATAACGCTGAAACGTAGCTTTCAATATCTAAACCCCTGAGAGCTAGATATGTAAAGTAAAACCTTTTTGATAAACTTTCATATATAAATAAATAACACGATAAATAACCGTTCAATCATGATTTCGGGACTCTAGGTGTCAACAAATTGCTGTGACATGATGCAGCGACTTGTTGGGGTCTATTGAAGTGGTAATGACCGTAGGGCATTTTATTATGTGAGAAACAAATATATCGCCCGCCTTATGGTAAGCAGCCACCATAGCCTATAGACGTTTGCGACACAAAAATATTACTCACTGCGTTGTCTATCCTAACCCAATACCCTACCCTGTAGAGTCCTGTAACCTTACTCACCGGCAGAAAAACAACACCACCAAAAGGCAGTGTTATTTTACTGTGGTCTTTTGTAAGGTGGAGGTTACTTTCCCAGATGGACGCTCTAATTCGAGCGAGAAATCCGCTATACCCTATCCCCTAATACCTACCTCTCTAAGACAAGGACTAGGAATTGCTTCTTTTAACGATCTGTCATTTTCCAGGCGATACGACAAAGGGCGAAAAAGCAGAGGATAGCCAAAAAATCATCATCGGCCTTAAGTTCTGCTGTATCTAGCGGCACGGCTGCTGTTGTCATAGAAAATATCGCACAAACACAGAGATTTGGCGACGGATCCTTCCGTGCGGAGGAAGATAAGCCAACTAACACCGCATCTGGCAGCAACGAAGAAAATGATGATGACGACGAGAAGTAAGTTCCAAATAAATAAAATGTTGATATGTATTAGGCTGCACAAGCTTCTTTAACCAGACATAAAATATTGATAGATGGATATTTGCACAAGCAGAAATTCCGTCTGAAACCTGGACCGAGTGATTTTTTTTCTAGTATTTTTTTTATTGAAGCATCCAGTACTTTAATGCTTAAATAGAAATATTATAATTGCACAAGCTTCTTGAACCACACGCCATAAGTATCCTAATCCTAATAGATGAATGGTTTGTTATGGATATAATTGGGTTTTTAATATCAGACATACGTCCTATATGTATGACCACACAATGAAAAGTTTGAAAACAAAAGTCTACGATTACTCGGTAAACATTCGTTAACAGCTAGTATTTTCAAATGTACCAAAATTCTGATAGTAAAATTAAATTCAATTATGTAAGTCAGGTGCTTAATATCATATTACCTAGCATTTGAACGAAGGTAGATAGTCCAGCAGATATACTTGCTGCCAACTATCCCTATCTTGCCAGATTAGAAGATCCTCCTTCACACTTCTTTTAAAAGAGTGCATGCAGGTTGAAGTTATTTACTGATAAATGAACTGTGATGTTGTTTTAAGAAAACCTTCATGGAAATGGAACACGTGTTGTTAACTTCGATTGTGCAACATATAAAATCACTTTTGATTTGTTGACAAATATCCATTACTGGCTGCTTCAACGATGCGATGTTTTGATGTGAAATGACGTATTGCATATTTACTTATTTAAGTAAAGTCTAGAATTGGAGGAGGAACTCGGATGTGAGATTTTATTTTACGCAATAGCCCTATTGTTGGAGAATTGCTTTTTCGTATTGTGCGAAAGAAGCACGAGTAGGCAATTATCCTACTAATATTATAAATATGAAAGTTTGTATGTTTGTAACTCAATCGCGCAAGAACTACAGATTTGTAAGAAATTTGATACGCAATATTGTTTATAGCCTAGATTGAGACAAAGGATACTTTTATCCCGGAAAAATGTTAGGTTCCTGTGAGATTCCCAAAAACTAAAGTTAACGCGGATGAAGTCGTTAAGTGTCGCGCATGAAATAAAATACAACATTCCAACGACTTGGCGCCATTTGATTTTAACCTATTATTTTTATTGAGAATTTCCTGACAGTGAAAATCTGAGATAGTTAACTACAGACGGCCATAAAAGCCTTTTATTGTCTGGAAAGAGTTTATATTTATAAGAAAGCCATAAAACTATATTGATGCTGAAGGCATTAAACTATTAGACAGATTATCTTATACTATCAAACTATCTTTGGTTTACGGCAGTTCTCAGAGATGTCAATTAAGTTTGGATTCGATTTAAGTTGATGGCGTTAGTTTGAGATAGCAATAAAATATTTATTTAAACTTTCATCTGAGAGCTGACATTCGACAGTTACATATACCTCATTTTTCTGCCATGTGATAATGTGTATTATATAATGCTTTGGAAAGTTCGCAAAGCATGAGAAAGGCCCTAACCCCATAGGTGTGTTATTATCGGTCGATAATATCGGATGCGGTATTGTGATATTTGTGTAAGTACATTATAGTATTAGGACGGCTACGAAATAACACACTGCTGCGATAATAACAACGCAATAGAGGTATGCCGAATTATCGCAATAACGATTCCGATATTATCGACCGATTATTACACCCTTAAATGCGCGTATAATGGTGGTAAGGCTTAAAGTATACAATGCTGCACTGGCAATACAATGAAACCATAGAATGCATACATTGATTTATCAATGTTTCGGGTATAATTGGTAACTACTTTACTGTAGGTGATGTTTTTACACTTTTAACTTTTGAGTCTTACCTTTAGTGCTGTGCCAAAAACGATCACATTATATGATTATACTGACGACATAGATACACTAAGGAATTCGACATAACTGTGTTATGATAAAATACAAGAAAAGTCTGTCTGAATACAGACACATTAAGATTCTAATATATTACAGGTCCTTATTTAAATTTAGTTTTTAATGTAGGTACATCATTAACCAAAACTTCCAACAGCAAAATATGCAATACAAAAATACTGACTATATCTGAGACAAAATAAATCACAAAGTTGTTTAATAATTTCAATGTTCAGAACAATAGTGACTACTGGACCTTGCTATGTGAGGAATAATTCGGCCCCATAATAAAAGTTTGATAGTCTCCATAATGACCAAAATATAAACTTGTTTGTGGAGCCTAATAAAGATACACATTGAATACAAAAGTTCTAAGTTTAGACATTCTTTCCAGGCCAATTTCGGAAACTCCAAAAAGTTCGGACAACACGTTTGGTCTGGTCATCTGCGAATTATCTCCTGTGATAATCGTATTTCCCCGAGACTTAATTGAAGGAAAATGTTGAAATTCCACACGACGATGTGAGGAAGCGAGTAACTATTGACTATTTTCTCGTTCAAGAAACATACAAAAGATATGCACTTCGTGTAAACAAAAGATATGCATATCTTAAAAGTTGAGCGCATACTGTTCACACTGCCAGTGAGAACTCGCTCCACTAGTTTGTTGCTTAGCGATAAGAGCTAATAAAGACAATATTCGGTCAGCGCTGCTCGTTCGGCCGTCAAAACAGGCGCGCGTGCATTTTGGCTCAAAACTGCCTCCAAGAGCGAGTGGCTCAGTTATCGCTCGTTATCCTCACATAGTCGCTTATAGCCCAGCGATAAAATTATAGAAACTACACACTCGCTTCCTGCTAATCGTCAACTCGTTTCTAGTTTGTAACTATACTTGCTTTTCGTTCATCGTCGGCGGTGAGACAAGTGCCTAACAAGCAATCGGAACAGATACGTTACCTATGGGACATGTAGAGACATCCTAGATCTGATAGGTTTAGAGAGCTTTTTTTTTATCTATTATCAGCGCTTTTATAAAGTACGTTACAACAAAAACTATTTGCCGTATTACTAAAGTATGTGCTGTTATTGGCTCGGCTGATCTATTGATGGTACAATCAAAATAGCCTAATCGACTTTAATTTTTTCACATATTTAAAAAAGCCGAAAGGAAATAAAAAATATAGCTATAATTAAACTCAATCAACAAAAAAAAGTGTAACGACTAATTTATTTAAGTGTGTTTTTTTTTAATTTCAGCTTCTAGGTAAAACAACACAACCACACAACAACCTTATTTTGTATTAGGTTAACAGAACTTAAAGCATTGTTACAAGTTTTCAATTATTTTATCACATTTAATTAATATTACAATATTGAAGTAGGTATATCTACATAATATTCAAACATCTTTTTATATCGGCTAAAGGTTCCCCAGAGGCTATAATTAATTAAATGAAATTAATCGCTTGCAGAAACGTTTTAATATTTAGAAAGAGAAGATTAATTACAAGATGAGATTTATTAGAAGAATTAATCTACACGCTGGCACAGTGATACCGCAATCTAAGGCCTTGTACGGACATCACGCTCAAGAAACGCGAATGTCACGCGCGCCAGTACCCGCGTCTGACATGCTTTGAAAGTTAAGCACTTATTTTAAGTTTTATGGCATAAATAAGTCTCAAATTCCATTTCTCGTCGAAATTTTATTGAGCCTCGCGTACGCAGTACTGCACGCATTTTGGCGCGGCGTAATGTCATTCATTTCAAGCAGCAAAAAAACCGTGAAATGAATACATCGACCAAAGCATGCTGAAAAACTATCTCACTCTAACCTGTTCAAGTACTTCCATCAATCCTCTTTACTATTTCTACAACTTATATAAATATAAATATTTCCAACACTCACACCAATTAGCCTAGCTTCAGAGTAAGCACTGTAAGGTTAGTGTGTGTTATGGGATACTAGGGTAACGGATAGAGTACATATACTATACATTATATAAGTATATTTATATATGAAAACATATTAAAAATCCATGACTGGAGTACAAATGCTCGTATTCATCACACAAACATCTGCCCCGACCGGGATTCGAACCCGGGACTTCTCGAGTCGGCGACACCTTTATGGTTTACCCAGCCTACAAACCACTCTGCCACGGAGGTCGTCAAAATCTCTTTGGTATTTGATGACATCAGGCCACACCGGCCTAAGATCTTTTACGCGACTATACTTACAGTCTAAATCAGGTAGAATGAAGAAATCTGCAGGCACACCTTATATTAAAAACTAGCTTTAGCCTGCGACTTCGTCCGCGTTTTCGTCGTTTTTCGTAAAAAAGTAGCATATGTCCTTCCTCAGGGTTCCGTGATTTTGATGTGACAGACAGATTAACTTTCGTATTTTAATAGGGAAATATAATATGTCAATCCACAATACTGTTAAAAATATCGCAATAAGGAACCGCAGAATATTATTATAATCACTGTGCCCCGAGATCATCAGCGTGTAACTCCTTGTATGTTATTATGTTAATGTATTGGTAATATTGTTTAGATCACTTTCACATGAGGCTTAAGTACATATAGAATGAAAATACTTCAGCGCAAAGCTTCCGGGTAAACTACGTTGAAAGTTGACCCGTCCGGCACGTGAACATAAAGATTTCTAGAACTGCTAACCCGGGAAAGAGCGACATATAACTGACCATGTGAAAAACAACTGACACCGAGATCTACTATAGCAACACGAAAAGTCTGCCTTTGAGCCTTATTTATTGTCATTGCATAACACACCGATACTGGGAATTGCGTTCTTTTAAATTGGAATGGAAAATTATTTGGTATCATGGGAATTCTGGGAGTAAAGATGGTTTCTCCTGCACCGCAACCTATTGAAATTTGAACCTCGATTACATTTTGTTGCAACTGGGTTACTTTAAGCCGAGTTCCATTGCAAAGTTGTGGTGGTTTTAAATTTCGGAGCAGAATAATCGGAATGCCAATTTTTAAACAAATTTCATGAGAAGGAAGTCCGGGCATATTTAAAGAATTTAAAAATTCTATCGGGTAATAGGCTAGTTGACCCTTTTTGGAAAAAGGTT